AGAGGGTGTCTGATTCGAATTCTGAGTGCCCACTAAACACAATTAAATAATTTTCTAATTAGTCAATTTTATGTATGGATGATTCCTTAGATTTAGGTAATTCCCATGTGCGTGCCAAAATTATAAAATTTGAAATAAGTACGATTATTACAATCAACTTAGTACAATGATAGGGGGTCACTCACTATTTTATAGGGATTTCACAAAAGTGTATATTTTGATCCTCTAATTTTATATAAAGTTTCAGTTTAATTCTTTAATTTTATAAAATATTTTTTAGCTCCTATTTTAATATTGTTAGTCTCAAATGATAATTTTTGTTTGGTTAATTATTGAAACCTTACCTTAATATATCAGCATTTGTAAATGTCTTGTCAACATTTAAAATTTTAACCTCAATATTTTTTGCTAATGAAATTAATGGTGTCACGAGTAGATGACTAAAAAAATATTATGTGAAATTAGATGACTAAATATGTATTTATGCCATTTAATTTTGTTTGAAATTGATTTAACACTAATTTGGGCCTTGGATCATGAATATCCACCCGGCAGAAATTCTGGAAGGACAAGCCCATAGACCCAATGACGTTTTGAGAATAACAACGTGGCCCAAAACTTATACTAAACTTGAGAAATCAATCCTTTTCCGTTTTTAGTTTTTTCATTCATTTACCCCACACATTTTCCAATTCATTGAGATCCAGGGACTTACAACTCATGAAATTAAATTAATTAGGAAAATGAATTTATTAATTTTCACAATCGAATATAATAAAATCATGAATACTTTCAAGTTTCAACCATCCACGGTGCAAGATCCTTGGATTAAGCTGATGCAAACAAAGCAAAAGGAAAAACTTATCGGCTTCATCGTAGGTTCCCTGCTGCTGGCGCTGCTTTCTTTTTCATTGCATGAAAGGATTTTAATATCGATATTTGTATATTTACAATAAATTGTATTATGCATGTTTACATACGTACATCTATATTGGGTTCGGAAGAGAAGCCCATGGATCTATTGAAACTTCGGAGACACAATGAAGCCCAACTTTCATTTCACATGCTCTTGGTACTGAAGGACAACAATCGTAGTCCTTATCGGGCTGGCTCTAGCAGAAAGTGCTAGTCCTTTAAAATATAATAAATCAAGGTTTGAACTTCCCGATAAGAGAAGTGCCTACATTTGGTGCCTACCAATGTTTCAAACAGGATTAGTTCTAATAAGAGAAAATATGTGCTTAGTGCCAAAAAAAAAAAGTAGTTGCAAACATGTTTTAACTACTTGGGTTAATACAGTTTTGTCTCTCAATTTTATCTTCATTTTGGTTTTGGTCTTTCAAGGGGAAAATGGTCTAGTTTTATATTGAATTATAGGGTTACATGAAAAAAAAACTTGATAGACTAAAATCTATGATTTGTGATTTGAGGGATCAAGATCAAAATTAGAGTAAACTTGAGGAACCAAAAATTGTATTAACCCTAACTAATTCATTTCAACTCTAACTTTCTACCAAAGTTCAAATCCTAAAAAAAAAAGTCCACATTTAGTATTTGATAATAAGGGAGACCCCTCACAATTTTGTTTAAAGAGTTCATTTTTTTCACCTAATATTTCTAACTGATTAAAAAACTTTCAAAAATCAACCAAACTCTTCTAACTAACAACTTTTATTGAGGGTAATCTTGGTACTCTATAAAACGAAAGTAACTAATTTTAACCAACTTCGATAATTTATGTGAAGTTAGTATTACGTGCTTATAATAAGAACTGAAAGAAGTACTCCTCCGGTCCTTATTATAAGACCCCATTTGACTTTTTATTTGGTCCTAATTATAAGACCCCAATCCATTTTGTCTCTTATATTTATGCATTTTTTCCAAGATAATCCTTCTAATAATGATAGTTTTAGCCAATATACTTAATTAGCAAGGATATTTTAGGAATGACAACACTTATTTATTATAAATAACCAACTTAACTTACTTCCTTAATCTCCTCAAATAAGTCAATTGGGTCTTATAATTAGGACCGGAGGAGTATTATTTATAACTTATTGATCGGGTATAACTTATTTCATATTCTAAAATAATATATGAGATAACATGTCTCGTGAATTTCAAAGAAGTAAAATGTGTACTAGATCATTTTCTCTACATATTGAAGCTTTCTCAATACGTTTTTTTTTTGGGGGGGGGGGGTAAAACTATCAATTATGCATGCCATCTCAAAAACAGGTACAAAAGAGGTTAATTAGGCAAATGATAGTACTCCTCCGGTCCTTATTATAAGATCCAATTTGACTTTTTATTTGGTCCTAATTATAAGATCCAATCCATTTTCTCTCTTATATTTATACATTTTTTTCCAAGATAATCCTTCTAATAATGATAGTTTTAGCCAATATACTTAATTAGCAAGGATATTTTAGGAATAACAACACTTATTTATTATAAATAACCAACTTAACTTACTTCCTTAATCTCCTCAAATAAGTCAATTGGGTCTTATAATTAGGACCGGAGGAGTATATTAAGAGGCCGCCTTCTAGGAAGAGTTTCTCTTTATGCATTAACTTGCCCAAGCCTAAAGAATAAAAGCTTCAAATTAATGCAGGTGAACAACCATACACCAGAATCCTATACCAAAAAAAAAAAAAAACCTCTTAATAAGCGAAACTAGAAGTCGACCAAACAACTTTCATGATACCATGATCTTGCTAACAAGATTATATACTACGTCCGGTCCTTAATATAAAGCCCTGTTTGACTTTTATTTTGGTCCTAAATGTAAGACCCCAATCCACTTTGTCTTTCATATTTATACTTTTTTTTTCAAATAACCCTTCTAATAATTATAGTTCTAGTCAATACATTTGATTAGTAAGGATATTTTAGGAAAAACAACATCTATTTAGGACAAATAATTAACTCAATTTACTTCTTTAATTTTCTCAAATTAGTCAACTGGCTCTTATAATTAGGATCGGAGGTAGTATTTGTTAAACGAAGCCAGAACAAGTTTGCAGTGTAATTTCCAGATTTCGTTGAATCTCCGTATATAAATAAAGCTATAGTTTCGTTTCTTTCCCCTTTGAAAATCCTAGCATTTCTTTCAATCCACACAGAGCAAATGGCAGTACAGTAGCGACTTATACAAGTAAATAAGGTTAATCTTTTGACCCTTAAGAACCTCAAAAAGCTGAAAGCACCAATCCGTGATAGAAGAAAATACCAACCAGGGCATCAATTTACCAATAAGGTCCTTAATTAGACCACGAGTAACATTATCCACCTCATATGCATTTGAAAATTGATGAATCGATCTTTAGTCAATAATCTAATTAAAATTAAAGCATCTTTAGGTAAATCTAATTTATACCCCAAACAAGTTTGGCCCACGCGTATCCAAATCTAATGGTGTATATACCATTTGTTGTAGGAATTCATCATTTACTGTTTTACATCCAGCATACCATTTTAATTATCCCAAATTCTTCTAATAATTTTCCTCCCATGGTAGATTGTGCTAGAGGGTGGCGTATAAAGCCAAAAGTCTCCATTTTTCAGATAAATTATCAGCTTTTGAGGCTAAATCCCAGCAATATTTGCCATAATTTCTGCCTGGTTCCAGATTTCACAACTTGTAACACAAATTAAATATCCTTCCAACTCAACTAATCAAAGCACTGGCATGCTTCCTTCTTTCCCCCATAAGAAAAATCACAGCAAGCTTGCTACGCTTGCTTCACAAACACAATTGTGGAAGCAACAAAATGCTAATTAGCATGCATGTATGGAACATGAACACAGAATTAACCAGGCGACATCTATCTGTCTGCGAAGGACATTGATGTAGAAGCCCTTTTTATAGTGGTTAAAAACGGATTTCTACACCCATTTTGTAATCAATTTAGATACAGGCGGTGTAAAAAGTCTTTCTACTTCGGTTCTAGGTCCGCTGTAGGATATATACTACATCCAGTTCTTAATATAAAAACTAGTTGACTAATTTAAATAGATTAAAAAAATTAGTTAAGTTAGTTATTTGTAATAAGTGTGTATTATCTTTCCTATAATATCTTTGCTAATCAAGTATATTGGTTAGAACTACTATTATTACAAGGACTATCTTAGAAAAAAATAGATAAATATAATAGACAAAGTGAATTGGGATCTTATATTTAGGACCAAAATAAAAGTTAAACGAGCTCTTATATTAAAGACTAGAGGTAGTAATTAATTGGTGTAGAAAAGAATATGAAAAACAAAAGCTTTCTCACTTCTACACCAGTACTTCTCACATGTAACTGATGGTGAAAGTGACAGGCGCTACTACAAAATGAAAAGTACTCGACGGTTATTTTGGATCATATTTGACGGTTAAAAACCGTCAACTATACTGGCGTCATATATTTCAACAGCAAATATTTGACGGTTATTAACCGTCAAATATTTAAATCATACTTGACGGTTACTAGAGAAAAACCGCCAATTATTTTGAGATTATAATTGACGGTTCCAAAAACCGTCAAGTATTCTGTAATACTTGACAGTTCCATAGAGTGACCGTCAAGTATTATAAACATACTTGACGGTTATTTTTGAAAAACCGTCAAGTATTATTTAATACTTGACGGTTTTAAAAGTAACCGTCAAGTATGTTATAATACTTGACGGTTTTAACTAATAACCGTCAAGTATTATTCGTTTTTTTTTTAAAAAATTCGTTCTCCTTTGCCAGCAACCCCCTGCAATTTTGAAACCGATAACAAAGGCTCATTCAACATAATCATGCAGGCCAGCATTCAAACCAATTCAGCCATATCCATATATGTTAATGAACCGAAAATATTTACATTATCATATATATATACATGAACCAATGAAAACCAACTGTGATATATTAAAATTCTGGCAAGTACAAAAAGGTGAACCAATTCCAAAATTAGCCAATTGCCAAAGTTGTGCAATGCCTAAAACTAACCAACAGCCAAAAATGAACCAAAACCAAAATTATATTGAAACCAAAGCTAGCTGTACGTACATACACTGTCTTAATGTACACTTCCCTATCTATGTTGTGCCCACTGACGGAATAAGGCCATCGCCAACTCCTCAACGATTTCTTCCATCTGAGCAGATGAATACACTGTGCAATATGTGTCGGCAAAGTACTGTATGCAACCACAAATTATGACTTAAGTTAGATAGAAATGTAAAGCTACAGTAAGTACAATAATTCTTAAATATATAAATTGAACCTTAACAAATGCATATTACCTGCGTGGGAATTGAGTCAGCATTGTGCAGAATTATCTCCTTCATAAATTTCATCACGCAATATCCACAATGGGAGCTCTTGTTGGGCTGACGTGGGCACTGTAAAGAATGGAAAAGGAAATAATATTAGTCAATCATATAAATAAACCATATTTAGTAGAATAGTAAATCATGGTAGTGAATACCTTCACTTTCTTCCACGGGAAGGTATCGTCAAATTGGCCGTTTTTTACCAGGGGGCAGGGTAAGGCCTGATTTGTGCGGTATAGCCACAAAGCCCTGAGAAGACAATAAAATTGAATATTAATGATTGTCAAAAATTTGATTGAAGCAAGAAATTAAATTAAATTTAAATAATAGATATAAATATTACTTGTTGAACAATGAAACCATAAATGGTCGATTGGTTGGATCCCCATGAAGAGAATCAAGATACTAAATCCTCGGCTTTGTGGGATTGACCACAATCAGCATCCAGTGTCCCCTAAGTATAAGAAAGACAATTAGAACTATTACAAATTATTTTGAAAATGAAAGAATTTAGGAAAGTTTACCCTTGACAATAAGGCGCCAAAAACAAAGTCTGAGCCCCCAGTGTTGCCCTAGAAATGAAGATATCTAACAAGTCTCTGGATAAGTCTTTCTTCATATTAGGTCCGTGGCTAGCAAAAGTGTGGGGGCTGATAATCTTGAACTTGTCATCAAGGCCACCAGGGGCTATGAAGTTCTTGAAAAGATATCTAAATCAACAAACAAAGATATCAGTAGAATAAATGTTCAAGTACTTAAGTATTTAGTTAAGGTTTTAACAAATACCTGATATAAAAGTTACAGGCATTTGTGCTGGCCATTCCATGCGTCAGAATCTCTTTCAATACTTCATTTGTGACATAATCTGACGAGGGTCGACCGTATACCTCTGGCTCAAACTCTAGGGGAATCATGAAATCCTTGCCATGTTCTAATCTGGCCCCAATTGCATATTCCTCAAGACATATTCGGAATCTTGATGATACCACTTGAATGGGCTCAGAGGGCTGCTTCTGTGGTGATGATAATGAGTGATCACCCAATAGGCTCTTCTTCCCCTTAGACTGACAAACAAACTGTTAGTAATTAAAATAGAGTTTATTTTAAATCAGCTGAATTTGTAGACCTATACATATATACCTTTGAAGGATGTCCTAATGTAAGAAGACGGCCAGGCCAAGCGACAAAGCTACCCACTGCTTGAGCCACTGTCTCTGCATCTGGGGTGGGAATCGGGAGGGCATAATTCGCATCAATAGCAGTGTTCAACTGCACCCTCACATGATCAGCAGGGAGAGGAACATTATGAATTATACTCTCCCCCGGTAAATTGAACATGCGGCCCGTTGCAACAGTGTGATGTTTAGGGCTATCCGCCATACACTGAACGTCCGCTTCACCCTGATTTGTTTAACATAAGAGACAAGTTAGCTAGATATATAAATTATTGAATGTAATTATATAAACACAAGTATTATACCTCAGGTAGCAAGGGGAATGTGCAGCTGTCTTTGCCACTTGGGCTGAGATTCGGAGCCGGCTGTGGTGCTTGATTCTTGATCAACTGCTCGATTAGGAGCGCTTGCACTTTAACCTGCTCCTTTAACCAGCGTGTTTCTTCCTTCAGCTCCATGAACTCAGCAGAGGAAGGCGTGCACGATGAAGAGGGCTTTTGTTGGTACCCAAAGTAATCTCTCTTGGTGACTCCATAACCGACACCCCTAAGAAGACCAGGATGGTCAGGAGTCCCCAATGCCCTCCTCAATATATCCTGGTCATCTGCAGAATATGCCCCCTGCGAAACTTCCTGGGACAAACTCTCCTGTGCAACAAACATTGATATAGTTATTCATACTTAAAGATATTTGACAATAACGTGAAGATTATTTAATTTAGAATAATACTCACCATCCTGTCCACGACCTCCTTAACGCGAGGATTATCAATTTGGCCATCTTTATTTTGCCTGGCCAGTGCCCACAGCATCTGACGTGATACAGTGACATCTGATCCCTCCTGCTGAGTCACCTCTTGCTCAAGGCCCGCATAACCCAAGCGGCCCTTTCGGTAGGGATACTCATTCTTCTTTACTCTTTCCTTATTTTGGGAACTTAATTCCTGCAAAAACAAAGTAGATTCACAATTAAACAATATATAGATTAAACAAAATGGACTATTTAATATCAAAAAGAGCGAGGATTATTACTTGAAATTGCCTATCACGACGTGACGTCACAAAAGCAGCCCAATCCTCTGGTTTGACCAAGTCCCGTATCAAGCTAGGAACCTGGGACTCGTCGGCTGTGGAAGGATCCTTCAAGTACTTGTGTGTGACAAAATATCGGAAAGAGCGTAGTGCCCTCCCAGCCTTCCCCTCCACAAACCTCTTCCTGCTCTCATCTATATCAAATGCAGACTGCAAAACATATAAAACAACACATTAGTGTCACGCAGCTTGTAAGAAAACGAAATTTGAGTTATAATATATTACCGATACATCTGTCCAAATAGTGTCTCGCACTGAACGATCAACCCTCCTCCAATGCTGCGCTGTAATGGGCACGGTGCTTCGTGCCACTGCCCCAATATAGCTGATAAATTTATTTGACCGTACAGCTTGTCCTTTCTTATTCCACTGTACGGCAAATTTCTTTCCTTCTGTTCGAGCTTTCACGACCTCTTGCATGACACAAAGGCCCCTCTGTATGCGTGCTGCCTCCTCTTGCAACTGTCTCTCCTGCTCAGAGGCATCTCTCGGCTGAGATGGGTTATCAGTGCTAGATCCGCTATCGTCTGCCATCTGCAATGAAATTGAAGTAAACAAAATGAATCAGAATCCATTAAATGAAAATAAAGTCATTAATGACGAAATTTATTTGAACAAAATTAAAACAAATAAAAGAATCAAAGAAAATAATGAGAGAATTTACATGCATGTTTAAGAAGATCTTTTTCTTTTTCTACTCTTATGTTTTTGCATGTTCTTCTTGGTTTGAATTGTTTTGATCTTCTTACGAAACACTTTCCCCCTCTTTGAAATCCATATTCCGTCGTTGTGATCATGCCTGACATACATGTATTGATCTTCATTTAAATGAGAATCAAGTGAGGCCTCTTGAAATGGATCATCTTCAATTGCATTGTCTTCATACCCCGTCTCTTCAATATCCATTTTATTAGTCAACAAAACAATAGACCATCCTTTGGCAGCCGGGTCAGGGACATAAAACACTTGCGTAGCCTGAGAAGCCAAAATGAATGGCTCTTCCTTGTATCCTTCTTTATTCAAATTCAATTGTATAAACCCTAAGTCATCAATCCTCAATGCATTATTATTATCCACCCATTTGCAACCAAATACCGGAACTCTGAATTCAATGTAATCCAACTCCCAAATATCCTCAATCACTTCAAAGTATGACATACGTGCATAGATAGGATTTTTATCTTTGGCACTCGATATATGCATGGTACTAGCTACAAGAGTTACGCCACTATTTTGCTGTTTACTCCGATCATCTTGTTGTTTAGTATAGAAAGTGAACCCATTCATAAGGTAGCTTGTGAAAGAAATCACATGTTTGCTCGGTCCATCTGCCAACAACTTTAATTTCTTCGAAACAGAATTAGGATCATTATTATACTTGCCATGCACATGCTCTCTCAACCATGCTGTAAATTGTTTATTGTGTGTTTTGGTGTACCAACTTTCAAGTTTATTGGGATTATCCCTCTTTAGCTCATCAATATGCTCATGCACATAGTCCTCAATCTCTTCGGAGTTGTGCAATACATATAGATGTGCCTGCTCCCACTGTTGGTTTGAAATAGTTACGACTTTCTTTCCCATAATCCCTTCTCCATCTGTCCTTCCCTCATGACGAGACATTGGAACCCCAATATCACTTGCATTTTTTAAGTAATGGGTACAAAATTCAGTAGCCTCTTCACAAATATATCGTTCTACAATACAACCCTCTGGCCGACTTCGATTTTTCACATACCCTTTCAATATTTTCATGTAACGCTCAACTGGGTACATCCATCTTAAATACACTGGGCCACACAATTGGACCTCTCTAACTAAGTGGATGGTTAAATGGACCATGATGTCAAAAAAAGCCGGAGGAAAATACATTTCAAGTTCACATAACGTAACTATGATTCGGGTTTGCAATCTTGGCAATTTACTAGGATTAATCACTTTGCTGCAAAGAGACTTAAAGAAGAAACATAACTTTGTGATCGTAACTCGTACTTTATCAGGTAAAATAGCCCGTATTGCCACTGGAATAAAGTTTTACATTAAGACATGACAGTCATGAGATTTTAAACCTTTTAACTTCATATCCTTCATTGACACAAGGTTACTAATGTTAGAAGAGTAACCTTCGGCACTTTTACTGAAGCAAGAAACTCACAAAAACTACTTTTCTCTTTTCTAGAAAGGGTGTGAGCTGCCGGACGAAGAAATGTACGAGTTCCCTTATCCTCTGGTGCCAATTCCTCCCTTATCCCCATTTCAACCATGTCTAGCCTGGCATTTATGCCATCTTTAGTCTTCCCGGGAATATGGAGTAATGTGCCAAACAGACTTTCACATACGTTTTTCTTAATATGCATAGCATCAAGAAAATGTCTCACATTCAGGGTTATCCAATACGGCAGTATAAAGAAAATAGACCTCTTCTTCCACCCACTTGTCCCAACATGCTTCGCGAAAGGTTTTCCAAATTCACAATCTATATCTTTCACCTTTTGAAATACATCCTCCCCAATCAACGGTGTTGGTGCCTTACCTTCTTCTGAATTCCCATTAAAATATTTTTTGAATCGCCGGTAAGGATGATCACGATGCAACCATCTACGATGTCCCATATATGAATTTTTCATTCCATGCTTCAACCTTATGGAATCTGTGCTCTCTTCACAAATGGGACAACCAAGTTGTCCTTTAATGCTATACCCTGAGAGATTACCATATGCAGGGAAGTCGTTAATTGTGCCAAATAACATAGCTCTCAACTTGAATTTTCTTCCTTATATGCATCATATACATCAACTCCATTCTCCCACAATACTTTCAAGTCTTCAATTAATGGAGCTAGATATATATCTATGTCATTTCCCGGTTGCTTTGGCCCAGAGATTATCATAGACATCATTGAATACTTGCGTTTCATGCATAGCCATGGAGGAAGGTTATATATAAACAAAATCACTGGCCATGTGCTATGGGTGCTGCTTTGCATCCCATAAGGGTTCATCCCGTCGGTGGCTAATGCAAGGCGTAGATTTCTATCTTCTTCCCCGAATTCAGGATACTCAATATCAAACTTCTTCCATTCTGGAGAATCAGCAGGATGGCGAAGCATGCCATCTTTAACCCTTTCATCTGCATGCCACCTTAAATTTTTCGCATCTTCTACATTACTATACAAGCGTCTGAATCTTGGCACTATGGGAAAATACCATAATGCCTTCTTCGGGCTCTTCCCATTCTCTTGGTAGCGTGATGCATTACACTTAGGACACTCAGTTAGTGACTTATACTCCTTCCTAAACAAAATGCAATCATTGGGGCAAGCATGTATCTTCTCATAGCTGAGGCCGACAGAGCGCAACACTTGCTTTGCATCATACGTTTTACTTGGAAGCTCATTTTCTTTCGGTAGCATTTGTTTAACAAGCAACAGCAGTTCTGTGAAGCCTGTGTCGCTCCACCCATTTCTTGCTTTCAAATTATACAGTTTCAACACTGCAGACAATTTTGTGAAATCAGTACAACCTTCATATAGAGGTGTCTCAGCATCACACTTCAATCTATCAAACATTTCAGGACAATCGTCAAGTTCCCGTTCAATCGCATCTGTCATCTCCTCAAGACGATCAGCTTCACATGTACTCATGTCAAGATTAGATGATCCACAGCTTTCACTATGCCCTCGACTACTATTACTCACATCTCTTGTCTCTCCGTGCTTTGTCCAACACTTGTAACTTTGATCAATTCCATTGATAATTAAGTGGCTCTCACAATCGGATGGCGAAACCCACTTCAAAAGGCAACACTTAAGACAGGGGCAAATAATCCTGTTGCGATCATCGGCGTGCTCAATCGCAAACTTAATAAAATCTTCTACCCCATCCCAATATTCTTTTGATAGACGATTGGCGGACATCCATTCTTTGCCCATGGTCCCCGACTAAGATGAATCATTTAGAGGAAAATGTGATCAGTGACTCAAAGATATTATGAGAATTAAACAAAAATAGAAAGTCAACACATGAGTCACTATTGATCACATTTATCCCTCTTTAATTCTACTTGCTAACAACTAGTAGTTGTTAACAACTAGTAATTCAACAAAAATTTACTTTCATTTCAGTTTGAAAAATATTCTACTACTACTAATGTGCTATTCCATTTGAAAAAAATTCGACAGCATAACGGCTTATAACTTAGAATTCCCCAGGCTTTATGGCAGAAAACCAAACCAGCACATAGTCAATTTCAATTACAAAAACAAAAATTGAAACATTAGCATTGCATTCCCCAGACTTTATCGCGAAAACAAAAAACTAAAACACCCTAAACCCAAACTGATCAAAATGCGAAACACCCATTTAGAATCAAGAACAGAAAAGAAAACCCATTCGGCCAAATAGCAAACCCATTTTCCGTGTGTGCATGGTGAACGGTCCTAGCATTATCCTATCATTCCCTTTCCACTACAATCATTTCTCAAAGGAAGAACTAAAGGAAATAAGGGGAGCGAGTGAAGCATTACCAACCTGGAGCCGAAATGACAATCTGGAGAAGCAGGAGGATGCCGCAACGATAATGGAGGACACCGAGAGGGACGATGATGGAGGACGAGCAAGGACGGGCACAAAAACCAAAAGGGAACGGCCGAAACAGAGGTGGGTACGGCGGCTTGGAGAGTCCGAAGCGGAAGGGGGCGCAATCGGGAGAATGCACGCACAATGACAAAGCAGGAGGATGCCGCACCGATAATGGAGGACACCGAGAGGGACGATGATGGAGGACGAGCAAGGACGGGCAAAAAAAGCAAAAGGGAACGGCCGAAACAGAGGTGGGTACGGCGGCTTGGAGAGTCCGAAGCGGAGGGGGCGCTAGAAATTTTGAACTGAAGAGACTGAACAGGGAAAGGGACGGGTTTTTAAGCACAATACTTGACGGTTTCTATTGATAACCGTCAAGTATTCTCAAATAATATTTGACGGTTTTAGATCAAAACCGTCAAGTATTACTAAACTTGACGGTTTTAGATCACAACCGTCAAGTATTACTAAACTTGACGGTTTTGATTTAAAACCGTCAAGTTTACCTTTAATATACTTGAGTTTACCTTTAATATACTTGACGGTTATTTTATAACCGTCAAGTATTTTTGGAATACTTGACGGTTTCTTTGAAACCGTCAAATATTGTTCTACTAAAATTGACGGTTTCTTTAGAAACCGTCAAGTTTTCTTTCGAGGGATTATATTTGATGGTTTTTATGATAACCGTCAAATATTTAGCGTCAAGTATTCCCCAATTTGTAGTAGTGAGGTCAGTGGACAGCTAGTGTTGGTGTTTTCTACACCGATTGCTAATGGAAGCAGTAAAGAAAGTCAATAATCTCGCATCTTATTTATGAAAATGTAATCAGTCACATTTTCTATCCGAAGGTGAGACTCCCAGATATCTGAAAGGAAAGTAACCAAGAGGCATATCTGTTCTCTGTTGCTTGACATAATCATTTGTGCCTTCTATGAACTGTGATTTTTGAAGATTTGCATTACTGGAGAAACACTCAAATTAAAGGCTTGCATCGAAATTATTATAGTTTTAGCTGCCAATGATATGTGAAGTGCAATTAGTTAATTAATTATAATAATTCAAAATCAGCAGAGGGAGAGAGAAATGTGGGGGGATGAGGAGGGTTTGCTTGATTCACAAACCTGGAAGAAATTAAAACACAGACATCATTATTACTAAGAAAAACACACACCTTCTTTTATGCTTGACTTGTTCTTTGTCTATATATAGCAAATTCTCCTCCCCTCCGCCTTTTTTGAGAGTAACATCGCCGTGTTTGAACATAAACAACAAATTAAACAATCATTGGACACCCAAATGACTTCTTTTTTACACTAATGGTTATTAAATCCTCAGTCATATATATAGGTTTAGTAATTTCATAAAGGTATAGGCCTATAGTGTAGCTATACTTTTTAAGTACTAGGTTGTGTTGTTGTGTAGTAGTAGAGGCTTGCATGTAAGCCTTTTTGGCATAGTCAGGACCGTAATTCATGACTGAAGCATTTAACAACTATTATTATAATCATCGTCTCGTACAGTCTCTACTTTTTTCTTTTTTCAAAAAAATAGAAATAAAAAGGAGAGAGCATTAGAAAATTGTACAGACCATAACTCGGAATTGGGAATCACGTGATGCCTTTAAGACAAAACCCCCGACCAAGTGATTAGTTAATTAAACCCCAAAATCTTCAATTTCGAGAGAGAACCCATAGAAGAGAGAGAGAGAACTTTGAATAATTCAGTCAAAATATCATAATTTTGACGGGGCTAAAGGAAAAAACAAGAGAGAAAATTTGTAGGTAGTAGTAGTAGGGTTTTTTTTCTGGCTTTTCTTTTTGTTGTTGTTCTTCTTCTTGTTTAAGTTTTCTGGGATGACGATGATGAATTATCTAACAGAGAGGAGATCTATGGGGGATGCCTTTTCTTCTGCTGAAGCTAGTGGCCATGTCTTCGTCGGAGACTTTGTTATGGGTCGCCGCCATGAGCCTCGCACACACGTTCCAGGCACTTCTCTTCTTCCTCACGATCTCAGTGCAGGCCATGGCGCTCACGGCGGCGTTATTGTCAGAACCAGAGGATGCCGAAGTGCAGGAGCTCATCGGCTCGTCGCCGTCGACGATGGTCGAACGAGGCGTCTCGTTGGTGATCATGTCTTCGTCCCCCATCGCCATCGTCATGTCTTGTGGCATCAGAAAATCTGGACTCAGCTGTAATGAATTGCACGTCCTCAAGTATGGTGACAGATCCTTGTAGTGTTTCAGCACAAAATCCACCTGTATATACACATAAACATATATATGATCAATATAATCAATATAAACGTTATAATTACTTTCTTCTATGAAACAAGATGAATTCCGCTAGGGTTTGAATTGAATTGTCGTTTTTAAAGAGACAAGGATGTGAAGAGATAGCATGCTAACACTGCAAATATACTTGGGTTATTATGAACAGACTGAAGTACTATATATATACGTACATAGAATTCAAATTTGTGCTAAAAGACATGACAAGATCATAAATGGGGCTTGACGACAAATCTTCGTTTTTGAAAAACTAGTACTTTAGAATGGTTTTATGATGAAATTTCTGTCTAATATATATACAACTATGTCATATACTAGACAAATTATGTGGTGTATGGGTATAATTTGAAGTGTTATGTCATGTATGATAAGAATATGGAACACTATATATAATTTTGCTTTGAAGTATATATATTAATAGACCTCCAAATTAAGTTAAGACACTTATGAATTGACTAAAGAGAGAATTGTGAGTATGAATTACTACTATTTGTACCTTACAACTGAGGGAACAATGGATGAAGGGTTCTTGGAGGCTTCTATCACAGGAAGTACAGTAGTTTCCTGAGCCCTTGAATTGCCTGTTTTGAGGTCTCTTCTTGATGAACACCACCTTAGCACTATTGATGGTGTAGGCCTACACACACACACACACAATCCAGTTGAGATTGCAGATGAAATTACAGAAGGGACGAGTTGAATTATAAGTTAGAAACAAGAAAGATAGATTAAGAAACCTGAACATTGGAGCAGTCTATGAGTTTCTGAAGATCTTCCAATCTGACAACGTCATGATAAACATAACGACGAACCTGGAGAAGCCTGTGGAAGCGATGAGAAGGCAAGCAGTGAGGACAGATACTAGTGCAACAATCCAAACAGCATATGTTCTTCTCATTCTTCTTTGAGTTTTCATGATATGAACATCCCACAAAGAACTTCTGAGTGTACAGAGCTTCCAACCAAGCTGGCTTCTGATATCCCTACATATATACATATAAACAAACGGAGACCAATAAGAATTTGCAGAGAGAAAAAAGATAGAGGCAGAGAAATTAGAGGGCAATTCAAACCATGATCATGTACTGGAAACTTGAGCTGGGATCACAGAGAGAGAGAGAGATTGATCGAAGGCAAAAGAGAAAGCAGAAGAGAGTATTTATGGAGGTTCACAATAGAAGGAAGGAGAGAGGACACGGGATATATTTATTCCTTGAATTGGTAAACAACAATTTGTCTGTAATATTGTGTGTGTGTGTGAGAGAGAGAGAGAGAGAGAGCGAACCGAAAGCAATAAAGAAAGAAAGTAAGATTAGAGGAGGAACGTGGGCGCTGTTCCCGTGTCTCCCATTCTCTAAGGGCCTCTCAATCGCACTCTTAAACTATTCTCTGCTCATCTTCTTGGCTTATGAGCTTATATTGCTAAACTAAACTAATCCCCTCCTTGAACAAGCTGCAATATTTTTTTTATTTTCTTTTATTATATATATATATATATATATATTCACCACCCCACTTGATTTTGGACCTTGAATTGCCAAAATCACAGAGATATTTCTTTATTTTTTCTTGTACGGCTTCTTCCACTTTTTCTATTCTTGATCGTAAGTTCTGCGTTCTGATGATACTCCTGATGAATTCTGCTAATGGAGGAATAAATTTGTTTATCAAGTTTATGACAATCTGAACTTTGATGTTATGTGTATAAGTGGAATCTAATCATCTGTCTGGCTTTTTCTCTAGTTACTTGACCAAGTCGGCTTGAATTGTTTCCCAACAGAATTTTAAAAGCTAAATGGAAAAGGAAATCAAAAGGAAAAGGTGAGGCAGTTTTAGGTGAGAAAGCACAGCAAAATTTCAGTCACTACCTTTAGTTTATATATATATATATATATATATATATATATATATGGTGCGTTTCTGAACACTTCTGAATATCTCAGCTTGTGCGGTTAATAATAAGAATCGTGTACACATATATAATTATATATATATTTGTGTGTGTGTGTGTGTGTGTGTGACTTCAAAGTTAAGTAATTATAGCATCAAGAGCATAATATATAGAGGTAAAGCACCAGAAAAAAAAAATTACCCACTTGGCCAGAACATTGCTAGCTAGCGGCTCCTATAATTATTCCAGTTTCACATTTTGGAAGTCATGGATGAAGTTAAAATTTTCAGATTAGTATCAAAGGATAGTTTACTTAGAATTTTTTATGATTTGATAATTATGTAAAAATAACATGTAAGACGAAAATGAGTGAAAAATGACACTTTACTATTTTCATACTGTTCATTAAAGTGGACGATTATAAATACCGTGTAGGGGCAAAGGAATTAGGATAGTCATAGTTAGATTAAAACATTTTAACTAAGAGATTAAATTCGAATTTTGTTTTTTTGTGTATTTTAAATTAAAATTCTCATCAACATGGGTTTGTTTGTTCCAATTTTCATGTGGTAACGTTCATTTGCTTATAAGATGTGATACCTTTTGACCGAGATCATACTATTTTCAGAGGTCATAGTTAACAACTATACTTTATTAATATCATGTTGAAGTTTTTTTGTTGTCACAAAAAACTTCTCACAGTACTAAATTCTTTTAAGTTTCCTTTATATATAATTTGTATAGCTCTAGTTTGCGATAAAATTGAATTCACTTCATCATGGCAGGTATTTATATTTATATTTATATTTTGGTAGAAAATCCTCAATTCCTAGAAATTAATACGACATTGTAACTCCGAAAAGGCATTAAAAAAATTTTCAGAATTAATTTCATTAAGATGAATAAAGATCGATGTTTATAGCTTAATTTATTATTTTATGTATCTACTAATCGGGACATATATAGATGACTGATCCTTCATTTGATTGCCAATTAATCCAGAAACAAATGAATTAAACAGTAATGGAACAAAGCATGAAGACAATTATTAGGTCGTCTTGTACAGTAAGCCTCAACCCTAAAAGACAACTCGAGAATGACATTCACCTAGACATGTTTCAACAACACGCTAGAATTCTGAGAATGTTCTTGCAACTTGGGACAATTCAAATCCAAGCCCTTTTACACCAAACAGTGATTGGATCGAGTAGAAGAGACTCGGTTTTATTTACTCAAAATTAAGGATTCAAACCTTCTTTTTAATCAGATGGTAGAAATTAATTACTTGAGATTATAAGAGGGATTGAACATACGATCTCTTACTTGTAGAAAAGTATTTACGCTACTAGACTGCAAGACCAACGATAGAATTCAGACCGTATATGTGATAATATAACTCAAAAGTATTACTGAATATAAGACAGCTAGATAGATTCATAGATATATAAAACATGATTGCTTAGTTGTTGTGACATGGGAAATCCAAGGGGACCAACCTGATCAGTTTGATTGTTACGTTTTTGTCAGTATGGAATTCTGTGGGGTGGGGGACCCCCAGAAAAGGATATATATGGATGATCTTACTTGAGCTAATAGTTTTTCTTTCCATTCAAGTGTGAACGTACACTATTTCACTAACAACTCTCTTCCATTAGTTCTCTTTTTGATGTTTGCAAAGGTCACGGCAAGTGTCATAAAATTGGTATATATGTTGACCTAGCTAGCTAACAACACATTTTTCATTTTAAATCATGTTTAATATTATTATTAGTTACTCTCAAAATAACGGGAAAAAAATAGGGTTTCATAGCGATATTGATTGATATATCCTTGGATACTATATGAAATATCACAAGTCACAACATATAAGATCTTGGGATATCGATGAGATGCATGTGTAAGATATTTGGTGAAAATAAAACTACAAACGAACAAAACAAAAGGATGTATCATGATATGATGTACATGGGATGCACAAGTGACAAGTGATAATTTCTGTCAGCGTTTTAAAGGATGCGTGATACCAGTTTGGACTGTACTGCTATGCATACACACACCCCCCCCATTGTTATTTACTTATTAAAATACTTTAATATGTTCATCCTATCACGTAATCTCTATGTAATATAAAATTAAGAAGAAGCTGTATTATTTATAATTAATTAGCAAGGAATTAAGGTGGAAATTGTCTCTAGAAGTTTTCATTCAGGAGTATTGGGCATTTAAAATTCTTTTGGATATAAATTTGTCTTAAAAGTTTAAAATTATAGCAAAATTATCCCTTATTGTTAAAAATATCAATGGTTAATATTACTATTTTAATAGTCGATGTTAGTGTTTTTAATGGTAAGGGGCAATTTTATTACAATTTCAAACTTTTAGGGTAAATTTGCATCTAACAAAATTTCTAGATATCCAATGCTCATAAATGAAAACTTCTGGAACAAATTTGCATTTTAATCCATAAATAAATATACATGTTAAAATTTACTTAAATACTACCTCTTGTCTTTGATATAAGAGTTAATTTGATATTCAATTTGGTTCTAAATATAAGACCCTAAATCTACTTTGTCTCTTATATTTATCTATTTTTTCCAAGGTAATCTTTGTAGTAGTTGTTAAAGATTTCATCAAATGTTAGTTTTAACTAATATACGTTGTTAGTAAGAGTATCATCAGAAAAATAACACTTAGTTCAGTAAAGGAAAAGTTAGGGGAACAAATCAACTTGCAAAATCAAAGTCGAAGTGCCAAAAAAATTCATCCTCTGGTTTAAATAAATTAGGGTACAAATAGATGTACATCTCCAATGAAAGTATTCATTTTTTCCTATTTTATCTATATCAGAATATACATAATTTTTCAGAATTGTGAAGGATAATTAGAATCAGAATTATACAAGTTGATTGTAATGCCGGTAACATGATTAGAATGAGAAAAAGTTGATAGTGAAAGAAAGATACAGTTATTCACACATATATCCTTAAAGATCAAGGCTGTGATTGGTGGTATATGCAGGGCATATGGGATAGCATGAAGAAGAAGAAAGGAACAAGACACAGAGGAAGAAGATCCCTTGTTTCTGGGGGGAATCAAACATATTTATGGGAGACATTAATTCAACCAATCCACTAAGACCAATCACTCCCTCACTCACTAACTGTGTTTGTCTTTTTATTATTATTTAATAATAATTTTAATTTTAATTTTGTGACAAATTTGACAGACAGGCACAACTCATTAAAGCACTATCCCCCCTCCCTCCAGTGTTTTAATTAAGAAGCTGAGGGCTTGATTTATTGCTAATTTTGAGGACTTTGCTGCTTCTTTCTTGTGACTCTAACCTCACTCCAAGAGTTTTTCTTGGGCTTTGAACTACCATATCATCTCACTATTCTTCTTTTCTTCCTTCCCCCTTTTACCCTTCTCATTTTTTTCCTTTTATTTTTATACAATCATCTTGTAGTTAATATTATTGGGATAGATTAAATTACTGAGACAAAACTTAAGTCAAATTACTTTATAATCATTATGTCAAATTCTATACTCATATTTTTACAGGTGTCTTACTATTTTCATATTGTTATTTAAGACATGAGTATATGTGATTATAAGAAACTTGTTATTCAAACATTTTTTTTTTCATCCATAGGATTCAAATTCCTGACCTAATTCAAAGAGAATTGAATCTCCAGCTTCCACTTGATATATTATTAGGTATGTGTTTCCAAACTTTTTTTTTTAATTTATAAAGTTCAAATTAATCCTCATCTCATTTAAAGAGAATTGAGGTTCTTCCATTCAATCTAATTATCATAGGTTCAAATTGACTCTTTTGTCATTAGCATTGATGTGTTTAAAAAAAAATCACATCCGAAAGGAGTAAAATTATGTATGATGTTGATTTTCTCTTCTTCACATATGTTCTTCCTTTTTTCTTCCTATGTATTGTGTGTGAATGTGACGATAGAAGATCCAAATCCATTATATTTAATTAATTTTAAGACTCTTCAAGTTGGACGTAAAATAATTGATTTTTTAAAAAAAATTTAAAATTGAATAAATATAACTAAGATTTTCTAATTAAAAATTACTTAATTATTTCCACACTTAAAATTGAGTGCTATAAAAAAAAAAGGTTGGCATGATGAAAGTTTTACTTCACTGCAGCAATATTTTAATACATGTAAAATTTAACTCTTATCCCTTTCCTATGAAAAATGATTAGACTCATGCGTATAAGAAATG